AAAGAAAAAAGCGGGGGGGGGGGAATGCCTAGTATTTGGTCTAAATGAAATACTATACCTGAACCAATTTATATAACATCTGACCTACTAATAGCGATTATTAAGTATGCACTTCCTATTTTTAATATTTTACTCATGATAAAAAAAAATTGGGCGGTGCCTGTGGCTCAGTGGGTAGGGCGCTGGCCCCGTATACCTGGGGGGTGGTGGGTTTGAACCCGGTCCTGGCCAAACTGCAATAAAAAAATAGCCAGACGTTTTGGCGAGTGCTTGTGGTCCCAGCTACTTGGGAAGCTGAGGCAAGAGAATCACCTAAGCTCAGGAGTTGGAGGTTGCTGTGAGCTGTGACCCCACAACACTCTACCAAGCGTGACAAAGTGAGACTCATCTCTAAAAAAAAAAACCAAAAAAAAACTCATAAAATGTATTTTTTAGATACTTGACTTCAGGGTAAAGAAGGTAAATATATTGATTTCCTAAATAAAAAGGCAATGTCTTAGGAAATGTCCTGGATTGATGATTGAAAATATTTGGAGAATATATTTTACCCCGTTGCCTCAGGAACTATTTCCAAACTAAACAAACTAAATAAACTTCATTGCAGTCAGAACCTCATTACTTTAATAAATAAAGCTAGAATAAATTTTTGGCCCTAGAAACATGTTTAGGGATATTTCTTCCCCAAATCATCAAATTGTTTTGTTTTAAAGGCTTCCATATTTGAAAATAAAGTGAGCTAGCATCTATAAATTTTAAAGCTAAAAAAACTTTTTCTGAAATACCTTATGTAAAAGCATAGTTCCTCTATATGAACATAGATGAATTGTGTGTTTGCATATTAGTGTGCAATTTCGTTAAAAATAAATAAATAAATAAACTTCGGGCCCTAGAACCATTTTTAGCAAAAAATCTTCTCCAAATTACCAAATTGTTTTCTTCTATACACTTTCAACTTTGCACATAACTTGCTCTAGCAATGTGTAAATTTTAAAGCTAAAACAACTTTTTCTGAAATACCTGATGTAAAAGTCTGAGTCCCACATATGAGTATGGCTAAATTGTGTGTTTGCATACCTGCGTGCAATTTCTATTTAAATCCTCCAGTAAACATTAAAAAGAAAAAGAAAAAAAAGGAAAAGTAGACTTTGGGAGAATTACTTTCAACAGGTGCATACCAATGGGGGGATCAGAAACTGTAGGGTCTCTGATCCCCTCCCACTGGTATACAGCTGTTAATAGGAAGTACGCGAAATACAATACATGGTGGTTCAGAGCTTGAGCTTGACCTTTAGTGTCAAACATGTCCATTAAAATCCTGCCTGCAATACCTGTGTGATCTTCAGCAGGTTAATGATTCTTTTTGGGTCTCAGGTTTTTATCTGTAAAGTGGGAGGAAAATGCCTACTGTTTGCTAAAATGAATATTACACACGAAACAATTTATATAATGTCTAACCTACGAATGGTGATTATTAAGTATGTGCTCCATATTTTTCATATTTTACTCAAGGTAAACCTAAATTCATGGTGGCTATAACATGAAATTTATTTTTCATACTTGACCTGAGGATAGAGAGTAAACATATTGATTTCCTAAACCAAAAGGAAATGTCTCTGGAAACGCCCTGCATGAATGGTTGAAAAGATTGGGAGAACATGCAGGTCTAATATAGTTCACTGCTATGCCCCAAGAACTATATCCAAACTAAACCAAGTACATAAAATTTATTGCAGTGTGAACCGCATTGCTTAAGTGGATAAAATGAGGATAGAATTTAGGCCCTAGAACCATTTTAAGGGATATTTCTTCTCCAAATTATCAACTAGAAATTGTTTTCTTTTATACCCTTTCAACTTGGCAAATAACTTTACCAATGTGTACATTTTAAAGCTCAAAGAACTTTTTCTGAAAAACCTGATACAAGGGTAGAGTAGGTCCTACATATGAATATGGGAAAATTGTGTGTTTGCATACCTGTGTGCAATTTCTGTTTCAATATTCCAGGAAAGAGTTTTTAAAAAAAAAAAAAAAAAGTGAAAGTATACATTAGGAGGATTACTTTCTTTTTTAAAAATTATTTTTAATGTTTCATTTATTTTATTTTCAGATTAATATGAGGGTACAAACAATTAGGTTTCAATGTTTACATTTGTTAGGTAAAGTCCCTGTTGTAGTTATGTTGTGCCTTTTAGGGGGGAGCACACCAATCCCCCTCCCTTCTCCTCTCTCCCCTCTTTTTTCTTCTCCCTCCCCCCAACTTGAATTAAATTGAGTTTTTCTCTTATGTGGGCATGTATTACTTCATCTACTGGCTTCATATTTATTGAATACATTGGATACTTGATTTTCCATTCTGGTGATACTTTACCAAAGAGAATGTTCTCCAACTTTATCCAGGTTAATACAAAAGATGTGATGTCTTCATCTTTTCATGGCCTAATAGTATTCCATGATACACATACATACACCAAAGGAGAATTACTTTCAACAGGTGCATACAAATATTCAAATGTCCTAGGAGATATTTTATGACACTTAAAGTTTTGAAGTTGTTTTACCTTCTGGGTCATGTAATATCAAGGTCCTAAAGTTCATGGCCTCATTTCAGATCACCCACTTATGAAGTTTGGTTCCACATCCTAAAAAGACTTTTCATGCTTTTCAGAAGCAATGGGTGAGACTGGCCCCTGGCTACCCAGCCTTGTCCCAGAATGAAAGAACCAAACTACCCTGGTAGTGAACACACAATGGGCCCAGGCGATCCTTGAGCTGGTAGTCACTCTCCATTTGCAGGACCCCAAGGTTTATTTAGAGAACAGCAGTCATTCTTCCTGCATGATCCACCCAGATGAGTAATATGCCATCTATTTTTAGTTTAGCATTTTTTTCTTTTTCTTTTCCCTTTTTAGAAATTTACCCAGGCCCATTTCCCAAGTCTGAGTGGTTAAGTTGCACAGAGATTATTGCTAGAGAGAAACATACTTTGAAAAGGAGACTGATACTCAAATGCACTTTGATTAAGATTTCCCCCAAGAAGTGAAATTTATCTGCAACATCATTTATTCAATAAACACCTCTTAATGCCTTAAAAGACAAAAAAAAGGCTGAACTTTGGCAACCCCAAGTGTCAGATCCCAGGCTGCTGTCACCTCTCACACAGGCACCACCATCCCTATCCTTGCTCTATTGCTCCCAGGACCACATGTTGGGGTTCCCATCTTTTCACCCTTAAGGTACCTGTTGCTGATTATTATTTCCACACACACACACACCCCACTTAAATCTATGCAGTCAGGTTCCTTTGAGGGAAGTTGGCTCTTGGAGAGAGAGAGCGCTACAAATGGTGATATGAGTTTGGGGCTTCTCATTTAACCAAACAGGCGCCCTATCCTTGTCACTAACCAGAAAGTTCTGTTTTTCTCTTTTCTTATAATGAAAAGATCAATTAACTTTACATACTCACTTAGTCAATCAACATTTACTAATCATCTATTATGAGACAGCCACTAGGATAAAGAGAAGTGTAAGTTGCTCACAGGCAAGAAGAAAACTAGTAAATACGATGATTACAATATAGTGTAGAAAATGCTAGCCAGAGACATAAAGGTAGTGTGGGGCCCTCTGTCATCTCCTCTTTCCACTTCCCGACCAGGCCTTGCCTCCAGCTTCCTGGCCTTAACCCACTGCAGAGTCTTTGGGTTTCTCTTGGAGCTAAATGGTTGGACGGCCCTTCCTGCCCTGGTGTGACAAAAACCCAACCACAAACTGAAAAGGAGTCAGAGTGGCCTTTGAAGAGTGGATCACTCCAGTAAAAAAACTCATAGAAAAGGAGGAAAGTCTACAAATGTACTACCAGTGCTGGTGCTTTAAAAAAAAATGCCTGTGCAGGGCGGTGCCTGTGACTTAGTGGGTAGAGCACCGACCCCAAATACCAAGTGTGGCGGATTCAAATCCGGCCCCGGCCAAATTGCAACAAAAAATAGCCAGGCATTGTGGTGGGTGCCTGTACTCCCAGCTACTTGGGAGGCTGGGGCAAGAAACTCATGTAAGCCCAGGAGTTGGAGGTTGCTGTGAGCTGTGATGCCATGGCACTCTACCGAGGCCCATAAAGTGAGACTCTGTCTCTAAAAAAAAAAAAATGCCTGTGCAGTGGATAAATGAAGAACAGAGGAATGAATAAATAATTGAATGATGCTTCAATAGATGATTTAATGAATGAATCTGAATGAACTTTCAACCTTGAAGCCAAACTGGATTTTAGAGTTTCCAGGGCTTGTGCCTGTTCACTGAACACCACGTACTCCAGAATGCTCTCTACACATTCGTTTTTAAAAATTCAAATTACTTAGAAGTTCACTGAGAGTTTTGCAATGCCCTTGAGAAAACTGGAGTTGCCTAGGGGAATTTCAGAGCCAGGGCTGGTGATCCCTCACTGGGGAGAAAGTTGAGTGGCCTCCCGTTCATGTTAGGAAAGAGCTCCAAGTTCCTCAAGTCAGGTTCCTTTGAGGGAAGTTGGCTCTTGGAGAGAGAGAGAGCTACAAATGGTGTTATGAGTTTGGGGCTTCTCATTTAACCAAACAGGCGCCCTATCCTTGTCACTAACCGGAAAGTTCAAATTACTGTGTCAAATCACCACTGCAGTGTTTCCTACTGAAAAGAGGGCTGCGAGAAATCCTTTTTTGTTGCCAATAATTGCACAGTAGCATGTACATGTGAAAGTTGTGTTGCAAAGAGGAAGAAAATCAGGGAAGGAAGAGGCTGTGTGGCCAGGGCCCGTCTGAACTGCTGGTTTTCTAGATGTCCTTTAAGGCTTCCTTGTGCTCCGAGATAAACTGGCTGAAGCTTTTGACTTTGGGGTTTAGTCGATGGGTGAGCTTGACATCACGATCTGGCTTCATTTGATAGAAAAGGCACATATTGGCTATTTCCTCTGCCGCAGGGAATCCCAGCTTCTTATAAGCTTCTGGGGTGATCTTTCAAGAACAAATAAAAAGAAATATTATGGCCCACATTTAAAATTGTTTGAAAGGATAAGCATTCACCTTAATGAAGATACAGGTCCACCGTTCTTTAGCCTAAATCCCAAATCCAAGAAACTCTGAAGTTTTTTTCCATAAGCTATTTGGCAGAAAATTGACTTTCTGGAAGTAATTTGGTGACAAAACCTGATCTGAGCGATATGAGGCTATTTAAGGTCTTTAATTATTCCATTTAGTGGGAATATTCAAATATTTTTCTGCAGAGCTATAGATGTGTTTGCTTATAAGTTCCTGCCCCATTCCCTACTGATTATATTACATAATATATAGAGACAATAACCTATCTAAAATCTGAAAGCTGAATTGTATCTAGCCCTGAGGATAAGGTATTGTAGATCTGTCTCAACCTTCATTCCAATCCCATCGCATGGTGCTTTCATCTCCACTTCCTCCTGGCATTCCCCCAGCAGCCTTCTGAAATAGTCCACCCTGCTGTGTCAAGGTTCCCCCACCACCGTCTGGCACCAGGCTCTTCTTCTCACTTGGCTGATCCATCCTCACTACCCCTCTTGGTTATAGATTTTCATTCTTAGGCTCTGCTAGGGCCAGACCCCAACAGAAATTGAGCCCATCCCACACCTCCTAAACAGCCTCAAAATCCACTCCTTGAATCCTTGCTAACATTAACTAGATTGATAATTCCCCTATTGAATTAGCAAAGACCATTTCTAACTATCTGATCCAGTATTATCTCTCCTTAGCCCACAGAGATCACCTCTGTCCTCTCAATTCCAGTTGGCCTTAAAAGACAAACAACTTATGTAAAACAGTGATTGTGACATGCCTTTCGTAATAATGACAAAATCAAGAACCACCTACAAGTCAAACAACAGAGGCATGATAAAATAAATTGTGGTACTACTCTAAGAATATGATGCAGTTACTAAAACTAATGTTTTTGAAGAAGTTTAACAAAACAGGAAAATGCTTATAACAATTAAGTGAAAAAGCCAGATACGAAATGATACATTTAGTGTTATTTTAATTTTATTACGTATAAATACACACGCATCTGCATGCATATGGGTTTGGGGGGTTTTGTTTGTTTGAGATAGGGTCTTGCCCAGGCTAGACTATAGCCGCATCACCATAGCTCACTGCACCTCCTTCTCAAATAGGTGGGACTATAGGCACTTGCCACAACACCTGGCTAATTTTTCTATTTTTCATACAGGTAGGTTCTCCCTGTTGCTCAGGCCCATCTTGAACACCTGATCTCAAGTGATCCTCCTCCCTTAGCCTCCCAAAGTGCTAGGGTAACAAGTGTGAGCGATGATCCAGTATTATCTCTCCAAATACAGGTGCCTGGCCCTGTGTTTGTATATATACAAGAAAAAGTCAAAAGGATCTGCCAAATCTTTTTTTTTTTTTTTTTTTTTTTTGAGACAGAGCCTCAAGCTGTCCCCCTGGGTAGAGTGCCGTGGCATTACAGCTCACCGCAACCTCCAACTCCTGGGCTCAAGCGAGTCTCCTGCCTCCGCCTCCCAAGTAGCTGGGACCATAGGCGCCCGCCACAACGCCCCGCTATTTTTTGGTTGCAGCCGTCATTGTTTGGAGGGTCCGGGCTGGGGATTTGAACCCACCACCTTAGATGTATGTGGCTGGCGCCTTAGCCAGTTGAGCTATAGGCGCTGAGCCATGACTTCTAAAATGTCTGTCTCCTTGTGCCACACTTTCATTATGTGACTCTGATACCTAATGTGCTTCAGTAAAATAAGGAGATTTTTGAAAGAAAGATATTTTTTCTGTTGTGTCTCACTTTCTGAAAGGGCCATCTTCCTTTTGGACAATTCCAGTTTCCCCTTGAGGCAGGTAGGAAGTCAGAATTCCAGGGCTGGAGCGCCACCTTGTGGCCAGATGCATCCCTCCCCTGAATTAGCACAGTGCTTAGAGCAGTTATAAGGAATGGCATTAACATTCTGTAGGCTTTTCAGTCTCTAATGCCCTAAAACTTTTGGTGCCAGAGAAGCTTCAGCTGGATTACGGAATAGCTTGCACACCTGGTATGCTCTTGAACATTCGGGGTCCAGGTATATGACAGAGAGATGCTTGAGAGGCTCTCAGCCATCCAGAAAAAAATCTACCCTGTCCTCTGAGAAGGAATACACACACACACACACACACACACACACACGTCCCATATACCAACACTCCTTCCTTTTTATTTCCTTCCATGAAGAGTTCAAACCCCACAGGACAAAACTAATATAAGATTCAAATGCAAAAGACCTGGGAGGTGGGTCACTGAGAAGCAAACCTACACATAGGTATAGGGGATCTTGAGGATAGCTAGATTGACATCGCTTCACCTCCTCATCAACTTCCGTATCTGAAGCTGAATCTGGAAGAAAAAAGATCTCTTCACCTCCTCGTGAACTTCAGTATCTGAAGCTGAATCTGGAATCTATATAACCCGTCAAGACTCACAGGACCCAGAGCTGCTGATGCAAACAGGAACCAACCTTCTAGCCCTGATTCTAGGAAACATTCTGGAATAGGGGATGAAGTACTTTGGGCTTTGTAGTTCATAAGGTCTCTGTTGCAGCTACTCAATCGATCATTACATCCTGAAAACAGCCTGTTTTCTTTTTCTTTTCTTTTTT